AACAAGACCTGCTGATGCATTAATTTCGTTTTTCTTCGCACAAGAACAAATTGCGTGCCCCATTTCTCAGTGGTTTGACCACTCTACCTGGCACCTCAAACCGTGCAGATGTCAAGGCCTTTCTTGCTTAATGGCCTAAATAGAAATAACAAAATAAAAAAACAAAAGTAGGGGGGAGAAATTCCTGGTACATGGCAAGCTACAGAGAGAAAGGGACTGGCGAAGCCTTTACTGAAGGATGGGAGCATTACCAATTCCACAATTGTTCATTCTCCAGCCAGGAACCTGCTACTTCATGTTCACTCGCTCCTGGCTATCCTCTGACTGTAAAGGCAGTTTCTACAGATGTCAGAGGATGAAAAAAATATACTAAACACTACACCTAAAGAAGAAACGTCATTGCAATTGTTTATCCACTCTTCCGGTAACAAACTGAATTTGGGGAAGTATGAGACACAGGGCAAACTGGGGTTGACCAAAAGTGAGCAACAAAAATGTGGTAACCTCGTAGAAAAAGGTTTGTCTCCTTTCCAAGTGAGATACAAGATCCCAAGGACTATCTCACACATTATTACAGAATCACCCGACTTTAAAAGTATGACCTTTTTTATATCTTTTGCCTACCCTGTACTTCATTCAAAATAATCCAAAGTTCTGTGCCTCTCATCACAAGTACCTGCTTCTCATCTTTGCACTGCAGGAAACATCACAGGCTAAAAAACTTACTTTAGAAACAGGCTTTTAAAGAATTCCTAAGTGCAAGAACTGCATTTAAAGAAAAAGCAAAAATGAGAGGAATGTACTTGGCAGGGACACTGACCTAGCAGGAACTTCAGCTTGAACCCCAAGTTGAAGCACAAAACAATTCTTCTCTTTTGAGGGTACAATCAAACCCTGGCACAGAAAGTCCCAACTATTTGATGCTCCAGAAAGTGAAAACTTCACAGGTTTAGTGGGAGCAGACTTTAAGGACCTCAAAATGACACCATTCCTACAGGAAATCCAGGACAGACTCAGTTCCCACATGGGTACGGACAGGAAAGCAGGTGGAAAAGGTGTTCTGGCACGGGCTGGAGAAAGAAAAGTGAATGGAAACATGGCCAGTTCCATCTATTGGAGTTTTCAGCTCTTCCAACTGAGTTTACTCCACAGCCAACCCCAAAGTCCCCTCCAAAACTGGTGGACCAGGCTGCTCAAGGGAACAGCCTCTGAATTCCCAGTCTAGAATAACCTGGTAAAACCAGAGCACCAGACTGGTAAGGGGAAGCAGGGCTCCCTGAGAGTGCTCCAAGTTGGGATGGATGAGGCTTGGAGCAACCTGTGATAGTGGAAGGTGTCTCCCTGCCATGGCAGGGGGTGGGATGGGA